AATAATAATCTGACCCATTAGGATCCTGACGGGAGTCTTGGAGGTGAACCTGGAGAAAAGCTGGGAGATGATGACGCCCATGTTGTCGGTTCAGGCAGGAGCCTCGGCTGGAAGGTTTCCCCGGGAGCAGCGTCCGTGTCTCGGTGTGTCCGTGTCTGTTTCTGGGTGTCTCCGTGTCCGTGTTTTATAGCCCCACGGCGGGCTGTTTGAGTCCGTGTCCTCCGCGCTGTCATCACGGCCYCTGTCAGCTCCGTACACGGTGGAAGTTAAAACGAAAACACAAACCTGATCACACCGGAAACCACCGAGAACGTCACTTCCGCCCAGCGTCGTTCTAAATAACATTTATTTGTTTTTGTTTTGTTTTTTAGTTGCAGTGGTGGACACACAGTTCCCCTAAAGCACTAATAGGCAGAGTTATAAAGTAACTATGTACAAATACTTTGTTACTTAAGTAGAATTTTGTGGTATCTGTACTTTACTTGAGTATTTATTTTTCAGTCTACTTTTTACTTCTACTTCTTACATTTTTCACAGTTATCTGTACTTTCTACTCCTTATATATGTTTTAAAAAGGTAAGAAGTAGAAAGTCTTACTTTTTTTCATTTAGCTTGTTTTCATTGCAGCTTGTTATTGTAAAATAAATACTATCCATATAAACTGAGCCTCCTAGATAGAGTGAATTTAATTGTGGTTGAATGAGAAGTATAAATATATAAAACTCTGATACCGTATTAGTTTGTACACAGATCATGTCACACTCCAGCAGGACATAATCATTAAAATAAAAGGACTGCACTTAAGAAGTATTTGTAGTTTGAGCAGCCTTGATATTTCTATTTTCATTGTATTGTTTTCTGTTTTAATTGAACTCATGTGCCATAGTGTTCGTGTTTTTGTTATTGTTCATTATTTAGTTAAATATGTCTGCTCAATGTTTCGATCTATATTCAGTTGTACAAAAGCCTGTAAGTTTTGTATGTAATAAAAAAACTGTACATCTTTTAGCGCATGCGCAAAGTGGTCCACACTCCAGTCCAGTAGGTGGCGGTAATGCGCCTGATAGTTGTTCACCAACCGCCATTAAAAGAAGAAGAAGAAGTGAGTTGACGGGACAGATCTTTCTTCCCGAATAGTTCGGACTGTGTAACAAGACGAACGGAGCAAATATCCAAACCAAATCTTCATTGAGGTGTAGAAAGTGGGAACAGTGGGTCAGACTGGATGAACCTGTGGAGAAAAGGTTTCCAAGAAGAACTGGAGCGTTGGAGAGGAAATGAGCTCAGGTTTGTGTTTTGTTTATAGTTAGGACAAGATGGCGACTGAAGCAGACGCACGTTTCAGCAGCTGAGCAGCTCGTCGGATTTCCATGCTTTATTTTCAAGTTTGAACTTAATACGATGCACTAAAATACKTTTAAATAGCGTGTAAACATGATCACTATCTGTGACGTCACGGAGAAGCAAAGATGGTCTCTGAAGAGGTCAATGGCTGCGTCTCAATTCATAAGCTGGGTACTGATGAGGACCCAGCCAGCTGGGCCGGTGTTCCGACAGAATAGCATACCCACCAGAATAGCATACCCATCAGAATAGCATACCCACCAGAACAGCATACCCACCAGAATAGCATACCCACCAGAATAGCATACCCTCAAGCAATACGCATGCGCTGCAACAAAATCCACATCATTGCGCGTGTGTCAAATCCCCATCATTTCATCACCTCCAACTACAAGCGGTAAGTTTTCTATATTTATTTTTTATTAAGTGGAGAGTGAGGCATAAAGCATCTAAGGTTAACTTTAAAAAAAGTGACCTGGGTTAAAATATATAAAATGTGTTTTATATACAACAAATAGGCTTAGCTGTAGAACGTATGTTSTTCTGATAAAGTAACTTAAACTGACAGAGGTATATGCCACTTCGACAGAACACCGGGTGTGCTGCTGAAAACTGCAGCAAAATGAGACAGTTGCTGCGCTCCATTAGTCCTGGGAAGTGGTAATTTCCCTGTTCCCATTGGTAGATTTAAACTGGAACGCCCCCTCCAGCAGTAATGCTGCGTTCCAGTTGTATCGGAACTCGAAATTCTGAAGCCGGACTGACGTCATTTCCGAGCTGATAGCGTTCCAGTTTCAAACATCGGAAAAAGCGTTTCTATTATTTTGGTCTGCAACAATAAAACATACAATAATAGTGCTCTGCAAGGTATTTTGTAGGGCTGTGTATTGGCAAGAATTTGGCGATACGACACATATCATGACAGACGGGTCATGATACGATATATCCCGATATATTGCGATACTGTAAGCAAGGTGATATATTGCAATTTTTTTTTTTGGTCCAAAAATTCTATTAAATAAAAACCTCATACTGGAAAAAAAATGAAATACCAAAATTCATTGGGTGTGTCCAAAACGGCAGGCCGCGTCCTCCGAAGGACCCAGCCCACCCCGTCGAGGTGGGCCGGGTCCTTAGTAGACCAGAAGAAAGTCGCTGTGGATTTGGACGGTCTAGCCTTCGGCTTTCATTCCCACTCTTACCCGGCGTAAGTGTGGTCACCTTGCAACCATGTTCACGCTTCAAGAACTAACAATGGAGGTCGAAGCTAGTTTTTTCTTCATCTTGATCCACATTTTTTTGAAGAACTGCAGCTACTACAGCAGTTTTATCAGCGATACCGCGATCGCAGACTTGTTTTATATTTCAGACTGACAAATAATCATGTCCAGATAAAGTAATTCTTATTTTACTGATAATCTAGTTTAGTTTACAAGCTACTTCCATCTATAATTTCAGTGGCTGAATGGCCGCTACAGGCCTACAACATGTACAACTTATTTATGATACACAAAAATAATACAAATACAGAATTATTATATAT